GGCCAGCCTTAATATAGCCTGGCCTAGCCTGACAATGACATAGATGATAATATTACACACCACATCATTCAATTTCCAGATGACACAAAGATTTACGATAAAGTAGAAAGGGACAATGATATCAAGGTCTTGCATAAGGATTAACATGAACTCCGCAAATGATCGGAAGACTGGCAAATGCTTTTTAATATAAAAAAATGCTAGATGTTGCATGTGGGACATAACAATACACATTGCATTTACCAAATCAACAACATAGATTTGCAGCAGATTGATGAAAAAAAGGTCCTTGGACTCAGAATCCACCAATCTCTGAAAATTGCGTAAGTCGGAGTTGCAGTAAAAAAAAAAATTAGGAATAGGCAAACGAATCTTTGATTTCAAGGAAAAGAAGGTAGTTATTTGACTGTGTAAATTCTGGCGTGGCCCCCATTTGGGGTATTTTATCCAAGCATGGAGGCCTCATCTTCAGAAAGACGTATCTGCTTTGGAGAAAGTTCAACACCAAGCGACAAAAATTATTTCAAAACTAAGTAGACTCTTATACCAGGAACGGTTGAGGGGCCACAGGCCTAACAACATTGCAAACCAAACCTAACACGGCTGACCTCAGCAGAACTTTTAAAATACTGAACAACTTGGAGGATATTGATCCAGACCATTCTTTAAAAGGTACAGGAGCCTCAAGATCAGCAAGCCACACTGAAGGAGATACTTTCAACCATACAGGATATAAACCCATGAAACTACCTACCCGCTGAAGCAGTAAATGCCAAAACACTGCTGCATTTTAAGATCCAGCTGGATAAAATCATCAGGACAAATGGGGGGACCTTTGACAACCTGCTATCTTCCTGTCCTCATCGAGGCCACTAGAGAGATTGTGGGCCTCAGGTAAAATCAGATATTAATTATATCACTTAACACAATTTGGTTGTGTTGAGTTAATTGATGAGTTAAATGTCGCATGCAGAGTTTACTAATATAACACCTTAATTAAGAAGATCATTCAACACTTAGTGTTGGAGCTATTTTACAACAATTTCTGAAATAGAATTAATAAAAATAATATATGCAGCACGTTTAGACATACTGGAGTAAAAGATATGGTAAGATGCAGAATTGATAAAACACTCCTTTAATGCCATTAATCAGTAAAACACTTCAACTACTGGGACCGGCTCAAAGCACTCAACTGTACTTTTTGGAATCGAGACTCGTGAAACATCTCATACACATGGTAGATACTGGACGGTTAGGTGCCAAACCTGCACAATAGAATTACAACATATAAGAGTAAGAAATATGGTTGGAAGCATAAAGAGTTGCGTGGTGACCGCCGGCCAGGTCGGACGTTCCTGAGGTCTCTCCGCTTCTGGCTAGTGTTTACGTTGGGTGATCGCTTGTTTACCCTGCTGGTGGTGGTTTGCCACTGACAGGGTAACGTTTGCTTAGCCATGGGGTCGTCTCGCCCTCCAATGACGAGGACGCTGTCAGCTGGTCTGGCATTTACGGTGCCAGTGGACCATCCATTGGTTGGTGTCGCCCTAGTGAACGTGCTGCATGTGGAGCTGTCGGACCTGGTGGGCCACCCAGCTGCTTCAGGGCCACCGTGCTGTAGTCAAGTTCCGCCTCCAGGCTGCCTTTCAGGCGTTTCTCGAGCGGTGTGAGGGGCGTGTTTACCCTCTCCCTGATACTGCTGGCTCCGTTAAGGTAGTGAATCTCAGTGTCACCTTGACGTCTGTGACGGTGCATGGTGCCCCCTTCGAATTTCAGGACGACTTTTTAACCTGTTTCGAACGGTTTGGGGCTGTGTTAAGTGTTCGATGGAATAAGGTCGTTGCCGGGCACTGTGTTGGTATGCTTGACGGCTCCCGCACCCTGACGATGTCGCTGAAGTGTAGTGTACCATCGTCGATATCCGTGTTGGGTTACACGCTCCGCTGCCAGTACCGGGGTCAACCGCGCACCTGTTATCGGTGTGGTCACGAGGGTCATCTGGCTGCGGCGTGCGACGTGTGAGCAACTGGTCGGGTGCATGTTCTTCGTGCGGAGGATTTTCCGCCCCTGTTGCGTTCGGACGGTGTGGGTGCTGTGCCTGAGGCGCCTGACTGCCTGTCTGCTGCTCCGTCTGTTGAGGAGAGTTCTCTGGCCCGTGCGACACGTCAGGTGCCTGCTGTGACCCCTGGGGTTGTTGAGCTGGTGTGTGAGGGTGACGGGGCGTCGCCTGCGCTGCGTGTAGTGAAGGGTGTTCCGGTGGAGGCTCATGTCCCACCCCCGCCTGTGGCTGTGGTAACGGCTCCCGGGGACGCGGGTTCTGCTGTTTGGGAGGGGGTGCTTCGGCAAGGTGAAGTGCCTGCCGTGCCTGTGTGTGTTAACGACTGTAGTTCTGCTTTTTCCATTCCTTTGCAGAAGCGTGCATGTCGGTGTTCTGAGGCTGTTTCCGTGGATGATGTAGACAGTGTGGGTGATGTGGCCTCTGTGGACTCTTCGCACGGTGCGGGTGTGGCCTGTGTGGATGTAAAGATGGTGGCTGTGCCTGCGGAGGGGCCTGCTGGGCATGGTGTGGTGCGGCCTGTCTCGAAGCGTTCGCGGCGGGCTCGGAGTGTGTCTCCCCTTCGTGGTGTGCCTTGGGACGAGGTGGGGGAGTATGGTGCTCAGTTGGCGTCCCCCGCCGTGGATGATGGTGCTGTGCGGGGCTCCGAAGTTGCTACCTGTGTCCCCCTTCCTGTGTCACCTGCTGTTGGATCCCCACAGTGGGGGGTTGTCCCTGATGATCGGGACCTCGTCGTGATGTTGCGGAAAGATGTGCGCCGGGGGCCTCGGCTCCTGTGCCCTGTGGTGGGGTCGCTGCCGCGCCTGCATCCCCTGCTGTTCCCCCTCCTTCATTGCCCCGGTCTGGTGGTTGCCTAGTCCTGTCTGCTGGGGTCGTGCCCTGTGAGGGTCCGGAGTTGGGCCCTTATCGGGATGCCCGGGTGCTTCCGATCCCATGGTGCTCGTCCACTATCTGGGTATCCTCTGAGAAGGTGTTTGTTTATAGGGTGCCGGATAGGATGTCTCAGCCGAGGGTACTGCCTGATGGCCGGCTGCCCGCCGACCTGTGGGTGATTTGGGAAGCGTACTGCTTGCGCTTTCCGATACGCAAGTTTCCGGAGAAGTATTAGTTCCCATCTTGCGCACAGGGTTACGCCGTGCCTGGATCAGCTGCCGCCGTGACCACGACTCCCCACCCCCCCCCCCTGTGTGGGGTCTCCCTCTAATGTTCGCCTCTGTTTTCGTCGCCACTCCTCTCTCTACGGCCCATCACATCTACCGCTTTTGACTTTCTTCTCCTCCTCACCATCAACGCGTCTCCTTACATCTGTCCTGGTGCAGTCATCGGGAGGGTTACCCCTTCATGCAAACTGCACCTATTCTCAAGAAGAAGAAGGAAGCATAAAATAATTACAATGCCGGTTGCCACAAACAGTGTAAACACCTGAGGCCAGTGACTCTTAAATCTCCTGTCAACGAATATAAGAAATATAACTATAAATAACTGTGGAAGGTTTCAAGACGGAACTTCAAATTGTGTTGGAGTTATCGAATTAGCCTGGCTGTAATAGCTAAGTGGGCACTTTGACATCAAAGACAGGGGTTTCTGGGGTTCTTCTACTCCCGAGCCCAGGCTGAGGCTAGGCTCGAGGTATCTATATATTGTTTGGTTAACAGGGGCATCAGGTAAAAGAAATTTACCCAAATGTCTGTATCCTGCTGCTGGAATCAAACCCTGTATTATTATTTGGGACAATATTTGTTGACATTTTTACATGCGGCTGCTTCCTCATTAGGCTGACAGTAATTATTTATTCACTTAATTTTATAAAGATACGTTTACTATGAGTAGACAACTGTTTAATGACTTATGATTCATCATCAGTACATCTAAGTGACACATCTCCCACAGTAAGCATCTATGCCAGTTGTGTGACACATCTCCCACAGTAAGCATCTATGCCAGTTGTGTGACACATCTCCCACAGTAAGCATCTATGCCAGTTGTTGTGTGACACTGCTCCCACAGTAAGCATCTATGCCAGTTGTGTGACACTGCTCCCACAGTTAGCATCTATGCCAGTTGTTGTGTGACACTGCTCCCACAGTTAGCATCTATGCCAGTTGTTGTGTGACACTGCTCCCACAGTTAGCATCTATGCCAGTTGTTGTGTGACACTGCTCCCACAGTTAGCATCTATGCCAGTTGTTGTGTGACACTGCTCCCACAGTTAGCATCTATGCCAGTTGTTGTGTGACACTGCTCCCACAGTAAGCATCTATGCCAGTTGTGTGACACTGCTCCCACAGTTAGCATCTATGCCAGTTGTGTGACACTGCTCCCACAGTAAGCATCTATGCCAGTTGTGTGACACTGCTCCCACAGTAAGCATCTATGCCAGTTGTTGTCAACCATAGAAGCGATGATGTTTGGCATTTAAGTGCATGCACAGTTTTCCCCACTCTGCTTGCATACACACTACCCTGAGCATGTGCAGGTACAAGGGGTTCCACTTGTACAAGTATAAACAGTAATGTACACATAGATACCAGTACTGTAGTTGCCCAGACTAGTGACCAGGGACCAGGAAGGAGTCGTGAGTGAGTACAGATCAGGCCGCTTGTAATTATTTTTGATCTTATTTATTAACACGTGTTTTTAAAATGCTGTACATATACCGTACAGCATTTGATTTATTTTGCACAAAATAAATTAATAAATAAAAAATATATATATATATATATATATATATATATATATATATATATACTGTATATATATATATATGTATATATATATATATATATATATATATATATATATATATATATATATATATATATATATATATATATATATATATATATATATATATATATATATATATAATATATATATATATATAACACACACACACTGTATATGCTTCTTATGCTATTTCTTAAATGATCCACTTTATCAACAGGATTTGTTGGCGGTGCTTGGTGGATTCGTTGGGGCTCTGCGTGTGCCGGAGAAGTGGGTTCCGGGACGCCTGGACTTGCTGGCCAACTCTCACCACATCATGCACGTAGTGGTGGTGTATGCTGTCTACCACCTGCACCAAGGCGCTGTGCTCGACTTGGTCTGGTTGTCAGGGAACACAACCTGTCTACTTGCTGATGCCCAAAGTATTCTGTAGAGATTGTATGGTGTTTTATCAAAGTATCAACCTGCACTCATCTGCCATAACACCCTCATGCCAACACTTTTCTTAAATTTGTTACAAATGGTTGTCAATGACAGTATACAGAGTTTTTTGAAATTTTAGATATGTTGATGTTCTTGACAAAACAGTGATTATCTGTAACATCAAATATTAATGTCTGTAGTACCCTGTTAAAGGTTGATATTGAGTATTTGAAACAAACTAATAAAATTAATTTTTAAAATAGTAAAAAATTGAAAATATACTGTATTTACTGAGCTTTTAGGTAATAAAGGCTATGATCTGTAACCATTTGCTTAATTGATGCACACATTTATCATTTTCATTAGAAAAGCTGCCATTATTAAAATATCCACCATTTTGTTTGTAGAATACAATATTAGAAAACATAGACCATTATTATTTATTTTAATTAGACATTCGTAATGTTGGTGGTTTCATATTCTTGTCAACTATGTTAGTCCAGGGTTGTTTAGTCTAAGATTCCACAAACCCATAGTCACTAGTCCTTAATGAATCATTCCTTAGGTCAACAGAAATGTACACTGCAGAGTAATTTATCCAGATAGCTCATATCAGTAATGTATTCTATTAAAGCCCTATTTAAAGCAACTTCATCTGTCCATTTAAACTATCAGCTTTCTGGATCTATTGATGCTGCATAATTATAGGTTCCTCACTAGAATAACTAGAAAGTATTATTTGGTCTCTCATGCTTTCAGCAAAGATATTATGTAAGAAGATGCATCACTCAGCATTTCATGTACATAATTTATAGTACGCCATTGTGCCATCTTGCAGCAACATTTTAAATAATGGTGGTAAGGTTTTATTCCCACCACAGCACTAGAAACAGCAGTGACTAACAGGTGTATTGTGGTAACGTACAGGAATGTGTTATTTCAGTTGAGATATTAGCAAAAGTAGTGGTGTTGAACATTTTTAATAGGCAAGGGGAAACTTGTGAATGCACGCTTTCTCGCTTCTCCGAAAGGATTGCCACGCTAGGTTCGTTGACTGTTGTATATAAACAGTTAAGCCTGACTTTGATTAACAAGAAATAGTGTCATTCTTGTGATGGCTTAAGAATACAATACTGTATTGTAATTATTTTTGGAATATGGTAAAATAGAGAATGCAAAATTTCTGGAAGTCATGTCCATATTTTATGCTAAAGAAAGCGAGAACAGAATTGTATGAGTCCTCTTAATAATGCCTAGTAATTTGTCTTTTAGGCAGACACGAAGCACAAAGTTGTTGCATAAACAAGATAACTTTCACTGTATTTCTCCCCTGACTGTATTTCTTTCCTTAATTTTTTTTCATTTGTCAATCCATATATTAAAAATAAATAGCACAACCATTAAGGCATAACTATAGGAAAGCGTTAGTAAGTGTGCAAGAACAGGACAAGGCATCTGAACACTTGCTGAGCTTCAGGCAACTTGTTGCTCTGGTGCACAGGTATCTGCACTTGACATGTGTACTTCCATGTACAGTACACAAAATAAATTTTTTGTTCGCTCATTTTTGTTTTGGAATATAAATTGCGGGTATGTAATTTGCTGTATGCTTAGCCCATATATAAGTTTGTGAAGCACTCATGATCTAACTTCTAAACTGACTTGAGAGTTTTTGTAAATGAGAACCGAGTAATTTGTGGACATCCAAGAGTTGTGATGTCAACATCGTTTGAGTCAGCAGGGTTCTGTACCACATGCCCTCCATTGTAACACAAATAATTATAATATAGTACAGTATACATATTGCCAAAATTACCTTCAGATTAAAAAGATGTGTGTGTGTACTTTCAGGTGAAAAATTTACATTGGTACTGATTGAGAATGAACTGTCATTCTGTGTTTTAAGCTTTGCAAGTTATTTGATTGTGCTGCTTTACTTTAAAATTCTGAGATTGTGAATATCGTATGGCATAACAGCAAAGTCAAAACTTAAGACATTGGAGCTTGCTCTGTAAGAATTATATGGGATATGGGTATTTTATATGTTATCAGTAAACTATGTATATTCACAAATTCAATTGTAAGGATGAAAGTGGATATTTCAAATGATAGCACTAGGTGTGAATAGGAAAAAAAAATCCATAAATTTAGCAAAATGTTGTTCTAGTTTGTCTTTAGGCACTTACTTTCAAAATTAGAAAACCTTTATCGTTTCCTGGATTCTTTAACAGTTAGAAAACTGCCATAAATTTGAGAAAATTCAAAGAAAACTTGAGACATTCCACTGTAGATGCTTAGAACAGATAGTATTCATCACGCAAACTTCTCAATTTGGCCTCTCACATTATAGAGAATGCTTGAACAAATACAGGTTGTTAGGCAATAATTTAAGTAAAGTGGCCTAATAATAATATAATATTAGATTTACAAAAAAAAATCTTACTCATGGTCTAATTACAATGTTTGCACAGTTGCTACAGTATTTAGATTTTTTAAGCCACTAATTATTCAGTGTTTGAGGCGAGGCCTCCCATACGCTGCCACCATTAAATTCAATCACCTACTGTAAATAAATCATGCCCTGCCTCTATGGCAACACCAAGAGCACAGTTACACAGGCACCAATGGTTATATGCCGAGCGGTGCATCTTGCAATGTATAATTTTTTCACACAGTACTAAGATTCACTGACAATTCATTTACATTACCAGTGACTTTATATACTTTGTAATTCATGTTGTTTTAAAATGAACAAAATGCACTTAAAATATTTTGAAAGTTAGTCAAGGTTACATAACTAAATATTACTAGTCAAACTGTGTAAATCAGGCACAAAACTCCTAATTTTGAATTCACTGATAATTCATTTACATTACCAGTGACTTTATATACTTTGTGATGCATGTTGTTTTTAAATGAACAAAATGCACTTAAAATATCTTGAAAGTTAGTTAAGGGTACATAACTAAATATTACTAGTCAAACTGTATCAATCAGGCACAAAACTACAAATTTTCTTAATTTTGATTATCTAGATCTTGACCTTTTATTTCAAACAGGTGTTATTGTACTTGAATATTCTATGCATGCAAATCTGTTATCTTTTGATTCTGAAGATACAGTAGTCAGTATTTCATAAATTAGTTAATTGTAAAAATAATGTTCTGAAGTATAATGTTAATCATCATTATAATACAACTTGTGTTTAAGATCAGTTTGTCATCATGCATGTATAAGGAAAACATTCCTATTATAATGAAAGCATTTAATTTGTCAATATTTTACACATAGGGCCTAAAAACACAGTATTTAGTCAGATTTTTTAGGCTTATATACTATATTTCTTGTTCTAAAATTTGATTGTGTAAATTTTGAGAAGCAAAATCTTTGCTTTAATCTGAACCTTAATGTATTTTCTATGTTTTTGCTGCTGACAAAAGTGTTTGAAAACTATATATAAAGTACAATGTACTTTAAATGATTTATTTTACTCTATAATTCTTAGTATAATACTTATGATTGAGTAAATTTTCAACATAAGGCCACTTAGCTCAGAGCTAGTGATAGTCATAATGACCTTCCTCATCCTAAAAAGTAGTACTGTACCTTACATTATTTGTTCAACTTTAGATCAATTGCTCATAAAATATGCCAGTGAAAGCTATTTTCAATGAGCACAATAATACAGTATTAAATTATTTTTAGCATAATGTAGTTTCAGTATTGGAGTCCTCTGTAGCATTTTGTTAAGGTATCTGAAGATGTAAGATTTTACCATTGCAGTTACAACCTTATATTGCAACAAATATCATGCTGATACATTTGTTATTAATTAGAATACCATATACTGTACAGTATATCAGTTTTCCCTGTCATATTTAGAGCATTTTATGTATATTATTATAGTATATTTGTCTTGATAAGGATTTGGGGAGTTTCTGAACCATCTTTTTTTTTTTTTTAGCTGATATGGTTTAGTTTTTGAACATTTTAAATTTTGACATCAATTTTTCTTTTGTAGCTTAAAATTTTAATAAGTTATTTGTTAATTGCTAAGAAATATTATCAGATTTCAAGTGAACTCAATTATGCAGAATTGATGAAGGTATTTTGATGATAAAAATGATATGGCTGTCCTGTACTGAAGAACGTTATACAACTCAAGCCATGTATTTAATAACGTAAGTTTGTTATTTATCCAACACTTGTATATTGTGATGCATTTATTACACTAGCATATTTGTTAATTGTGTGAAATGTGTTATTCAAACCCCTGAACTGTTTTTCTGCTGGCAGAAAGGACACCAAATTTTGCATTTAAAGGCTCTTCTTATATCTTCAAACTGTACAGTGATTTCAACTTAGCATAAAATGCATGCATGGCACCCGGGCTTAGTCTGTGTTGACAGTTTGGTCATAAGGTCATGTTATGGCCTCTTGTGGTATGCTGATTTTCTCTCTCTTAGGTTTTGGGCTCATATCAGGTTATCCCTTCTCGCCTAGAACTGTGTTTGCTATCATATATGACAAATGATTTTAGCTATAATAGAAATATTTTTTTTATATTTATTTGTAAATATATACTGTGTGTGTGTGTGTGTGTGTGTGTGTGTGTGTGTGTGTGTGTGTGTGTACTCACCTAGTTGTGATTGCAGGGATTGAGCTCTGGCTCTTTGGTCCCCGCCTCTCAACTGTCAATAAACTGGTGTACAGATTTCTGAGCCTACTGGGCTCTATCATATCTATATTTGAAACTGTGTATGGAGTCAGCCTCCACCACATCACTGCCTAGTGCATTCCACCTGTTAACTGCTCTGACACTGAAAAAATAACGTTATAAATTCTTTATACCCTTGTGGCTCATTTGGGTACTCAGTTTCCATCTGTGTCCTCTTGTTCATGTACCACCCATGTTAAACAGTTTATCTTTATCTACCCTGTCAATTCCTTTGAGAATTTTGTAGATAGTGATCATGTCTCCTCTTACTTTTCTGTCTTCCAATGTCGTGAGGTGCGTTTCACACGGCCTTTCCTCATAACTCATGCCTCTTAGTTCTAGGACTAGCCTAGTGGCTTACCTCTTAACTTTTTCAAGCTTTGCCTTGTGCTTGATAAGGTACGGGCTCCATGCTGGAGCCTCATACTCATGGATTGGTCTTACATATGTGGTATACAAGGTTCTGAATGATTTCTTACACAGGTTCCTGAAGGCAGTTTTGATGTTAGCCAGCCTTGCATACCCTGCAGATGTTATTCTTTTGATGAGGGCTTCAGGTGACAGGTTTGGTATGATATCAACTCCTAGATCTTTCTCTCTGTCCGTTTCATGAAGGATTTCATCTCCCATTCTGAATCTTGTGTCTGGCCTCCTGTTTCTACTGCCTAGTTTCATTACCTTACATTTACTTGGGTTGAACTTTAGTAGCCATTTATTGGACCATTCATTCAGTCTGCTTAGGTCATCTTGTAGCCTCATAGTATCTTCCTCCGTCTTAATCCTCCTCATAATTTTTGCATCATCGGCAAACAATGAGAGGAATGATTCTATACCCTCTGATAGATCATTTACATATTTAAGAAACAGTATGGGTCCAAGGACTGAACCCTGCGGGACTTCACTGGTGACGTCTCGCCAATCTGAGACCTCGCCCCTCACAGTGACTCGCTGTCTTCTGTTACATAGGTACTCCCTTATCCAATGGAGTACCTTCCCTTTCACACCTGCCTGCATCTCCAGCTTTCACACTAATCTCTGGTGTGGTACTGTGTCAAAGGCTTTCTGGCAATCCAAAAATATGCAGCCTGCCCACCCCTCTCTTTCTTGTCTAATTCTTGTTGCCTGATCATAGAATTCAATTAATCCTGTGAGGACTGACTTGCCATCCCTGAAACCATGTTGGTGTTGTGTCACAAAGTTCCTTTGTTCCAGATATTCCACTAGCTTTTTTCACACAATTTTTTTTCAATAACTTACATGGTATGCAAGTTAGGGACACTGGCCTGTCATTCAGTGCCTCCTGTCTATCCCCCTTCTTGTATATCGGGACTACATTTGCCGTCTTCTAAATTTTTGGCAGTTCACCTGTTACCAGTAATTTGTTATACACCATGGGGAGTGGCAGGCACAGCGTCAGGGAACCCACAAGAATGAGGGGAACCAATGAACCAGCGAGACTGGACCTAGTTTTCACTCTGAATGACTCCGATATAAGGGAAATTGACTTCGAGGCCCCAATAGGATGGGGAGGGGGAATGGGGGGGGCCTTGGGTTATGAGGGGGTTCTGAGGGTAAGGGGGGCCTGGGTCGTGAGGGGGCTGGGAGGATCTGGTTTGGAGAGAGTGGGGGCGAAGGGAGGGCTTGGAAGGGTGGGGGAGAAGGGAGGGCTTGGGGGTGGGGAAAAGATTGAGGCTTGGGGGGGTGTAGGGGAAGAGAGAGGGCTTGGGGGGTAGGGGAGGAGAGAGGGCTTGGGGGGGGGTAAGGGAGAAAGGAGGCTTGGGGGAAGGGGGAGAAAGGAGGGCTTGTGGGGACAGGAGAGGAGGAAGGGCTTGTGGGGGGTGAGGGAGAAAGAAGGGCTTAGTGGGGTGGGGGAGAAGGGAGGGCTTAGGGTTGTGGGGGAGAAGGGGGGGCTTAGGGGTGGGTAAGAAGGGAGGGCTTGGGGGAGTTGGGAGGGTGGTCCAGGTGGCCACTCAGTGAGGGGCTCGTAGGGGCTGAGGCAGGTTGGGCTTCTATTAGGTAGGAGGTGGGCATGATTCTCCTCCCACTGGGGCTGTTGAACTGCCAGTGGAGGGTTCCCCACTCCCCTCTGAAATCGTAGGGTTCTGGGCTGTGGTTCCCTGATTCCTGTCTCTCCTTGCTCTCCTTCCTCGCTGCTGCTGCCCTCCATCTCTCCTCCCTGGTCATAGCCCTCTACAGAAATACCTTATTGAACTTTGATACATTGAATAGGCTGCTCTTTGCTAAAATTTCTTGTTTTGTGTCCTCACTTTTGAAAACCACTTATATCACCTAATCTCTTTCCTTGTTGTACTGGCCAAGCCTGAAAATCTTTTCTATATTCTGTTCTTCTCTCTCCATCTGTATCTCTTCAAGGATCTCTTTGACTGTGGCTCTGTCCATATATCTCCTCTCCCCCTGGACTGGTCCCTGTTTGCTCCTTAATACCTACTACAATTACTGCTCTTTTCCTCTCTTATCAGTCGGCTAGTGCATCTTACTGCTTCCTGAGAAGTAGCAACTTTCATGGCAATTTCCTGTACTGCAGACAACTTACAGGGTCCTTCTAAGTATGTCTGCAAATGAGGGTTGTATTGTAGAAGTCCCTTCTACTGATACATTACCATCTTCTTGGGGCTCATCTTCCCGAGTTCCTGAGGGCTGAATGTGTGTGTGTGTGTGTGTGTGTGTGTGTGTGTGTGTGTGTGTGTGTGTGTGTGTGTGTGTGTGTGTGTGTGTGTGTGTGTGTGTGTGTGTGTGTGTGTGCTCTATACATATATACATTCTATATACTGTATATAAATACTGTGTACTAGTTCTATACAGTAGTATTACTGTTCTGCATCACGAATTCCGTTCCATTCTGGATCGGTACAGGCATTGACATTCTTAAGAAAAATTTTGTTATTTTCAGAGGCAATACAACACATTCATACATATTTTAATATGTTCATAACATAAAATCTTGTAACATAGCAGTATGAACCAAATAAACATGATTCAGTAATGTAGGAGATAAATTATTTTTCTTTAATTTAGAGTGAAGCTTGACCAGCCTTGTAACCCTCGATAATAAGTGAGGCGTCCCCATACCAAACTGATTTGTATACATTATGTAATTTTTGTATAATGTATTTAATCAGACACAATGCTTGAACCAGTGCTATGCTCCTTCACCAGACTGGTACAGTAAGGCATCTCAAATTTTATCACCAATTTCCTGTTTACATGAATAGTTAGCATATCATTTTTAACTACTTCAGCCTGATTAGTGATGCTGTTACACATATGAGCTTGATTATCCGAACTACATGAGGAAGGATCCCCCTCACCAGATAAATTGGACATCCGGATAAGCAATATTTCTCACTGGAAAATTCAAAAATTAAAATATTCGCAATGTTTTGTACACTACCACAACCAACATGATTTGAATGCCCACCCACACTATAGTTTAAAAATATACCTGTATTGAAATTTAAAACATAAACTTCAGCTTACTATGTTTTAGTTGATCTTAAAGCTGCACATCTTGAAATCAATACTTTTTGAAAATTTACGTAACCTAACCTAACACACCACTAAAATTACTGTACAGTACATGAGCTTGGCAAGGTAAGTTTTGACTGCCAGATGCTGAAGCCTCACTGGTTGAAATAAGTAATTATCAAAATAAGGCACCAAGTTGGGGAAGCTATGTAGCGCATTAAATAGACGCTAAATATCATTAAGGATGCCAATACGAGAACAAAAGCGCATAAGACGAATGACATCAAAAGTATCTAATTCACCAAGGATACTACGGAGAGACTAGTGACCTCAAGGGACGGTCCGAAAGCAAGACACGCTCGTCCTGGAAGTCCGGACATTCAACAAGGATATGCACGACTGTAAGAGGGACAATGCAGTTTGAACAATAAGGAGCAAGGTGGTGCTCCATTAAGTGACCGTGAGTTTAACGTGTATAGCCAATACATAACCTTGCCAGAGCGTTTCTCACTGCCGGTTACGGTGGTAGGAGGAAGCTAGGCCATGGGGACACGCTACTCTTAAGAGCACGCAGTTTATTAAAAGTAACAGAAGACCAGTGATCGTGCCAACGGGCACAGATTGAGGAATGAATAACTGGGTCGAAATCAAAATAAGGAACACTTTTGCAGGAAATGGGACAAGTGCGGATAGCCTCCTCAACACCAATATCGCTTGGAACCCAGCAAAACTTGACTGTCTTAGATCTGCTGGAGATAAGAAACAGTCAACATTGAATTTCGAAGACAACAGGACGGACAGTATTAAAGTACTCTAGAGCCATGAGGGCACTGTGAGAGTCAACTACAACAAAGGAAGATTGACAGCGAGAAAGCAGTTGACGAAGAGCATAGAGAATTGCATAAAGTTCTGCCATGAAGATGCTAGTCTCCGGGGGCAGGCGATACATATAGGTGCAGTTAGCAAACACAGCGGAGTAGCCTACACCATCGGCAGACTTAGACCCATCTGTGAAGACAGAGAGATTGAGCTGGAGTGTGAAAAAAGTG